TCCTAAAGCTACCAAAATTTCGAAAGTTTTAGTAGCGGGAAAAAATACTCCCGGTACTGAACTTTCCGAAATTCTAGTACCGCGAGACAGGCACGCAAGAGACTTTCAAAAGGAAACGCGCCAAAGTACGAGGTTCCAGGGGCCAGGGGCGCGCACAAAAAAACGGAGGCGACCAGCACGACACCGTTTTATTAGAGAATTAGTCAACTTATTATTTTCTATAATATAGTATATAAGAATCATAATCTTATATGAACTATATCATATAAAAGATATGAAAAACCATAAAATTTCGCTCAATTATTCTTCAAATAAATTAATAAGATTAGAAAGTCTAATTCTCGAATCGTAGACGATACTCGAAAAAATAATAAATAATAATATCAAGAAGAGACATATACTTATTAAAAAATAAGATGCTCACGAAAAAAATATACGAACATATTATAAAGATATATAGATATAACATATGTCAAATATTCAATCGTTCATTATAAAAATATTATAATATTGAATATCAAGATAATAAAAGTTAGAATTCCCAGAAAAACATAGCTCGAAAATAAGATACGATGTTTGAATTTCCCGAGAATATAGCGATATTCGTTTATATTTTCCCCGGAATTACCGGAATTTCGTGTAGCACGACTTCCCCCAAATGCCCGGGATTTTGAAAGTTTCGTAATACACAACGCGGCTAAATCTATCGATATTCCCAAAATCCGAAGATGTTTGAAATCCCTACCGGATTCCGAAATTGAAGGAAACCCGACATGCCTCCGAATCATTATTGGAAGGAACCCCCCCCACCCCCCCGATATGCCTCCGAATCATTTTCCTGAAGCCGACGGCCCCCTTCCAGCCGATTCCACTATATTCTTCACGACATGTCCTCGATTCATTTTCGTCGCACACCACTCCGCGACACCTCCGTGTGAGCCTTCCAACCGCTTTCCCGAAAACGAAAATCCGACGGATAAGTGACATGGCGCGCATCTCACGTATGCTTGTCGATGCTTCGCGACCACAAAATTTGAAAAACAGAGCGTTTTATCAATTCCGAATATAACAGATTTCCGCTTTTAGAATCAGAATCTTTCTATAGAAATTTGAAAAATACGAGCCTTTTTAGTATGTTATATACTAATTATGTCATCAAGATTCTCTTGTTTCTTGAAGCCCGAATGAAGTAGAACGATCAAGCACGAGAAATTCGCACTCCGTAAATTCAGCTCCATACAATTTATTTGCTAAAGCTCGGCTAGGGCCGTCGTTGTAGATCTATTTTCTGCTGATAGTTCCCCAGAGCCGATTGTTGCCATTATGGTCATAGAGACTTTTCAAACCCCTGGATTCAATTCGTCCGCTTCCCCACCTTGACGCTAAAAAGTAACACCTTCCATTTTTTATCCTCAAGGAATTCAATCATATCTGCTCGAACCTATATAGTACCTCACGCACAAGCGCAAAAAAAAACAGTTCGTGTGACAGTGTTTAATCACCGAGGATTTGTTTTTCGATTCTATACTGATGCTGCTAGAGTTCCCCTTCTTCATCTTCGTCGTCGTCGATCACCTCGCTGTACTTGCAAAGCCGAGACCTCCTGCGACAACCACAACACTCGTGCGCATCCACCAATCTGCCAAATCTTACGTTCAGTCATGCGATACCGGAGGCTTTGGCGTGCAGCGGGCCTTGCGCAAAGCCACCTCTCCCAGTTGTCTGACAACACCTGTGACCAGGTTCTCTCGAATGCACTGAGACCTCCCATCACATGTCAAGTTGGCCTGTCCATGGAAGCGAGTATGCGGTACCTGGGATTCTGGTATACAACATCAGGCAACCTCGGACATGATTCAAACGCACTCAAAAGCCTAATCGTTCTAGAGACTCGTGGACAGAGTGCAAGGAAAAACGCAGCCTTGTGTTGCATCATCAGCTGCAACATATCCAGCTTCCTGTCGCGAATTTCGCTTCCAGGTTAAGCTGCAATCTCCGCAAAGCAAGTAGGAACGTGTATCAACCGCCTGTGACTTGCTGCCATCTGAGCCAGCGGCAAAACCTATGAGGCCGCCCTCCCAACCCTTATACGGCGTTATCGCTTTTGGGCAGGCGCCTTATCGTTCTGCAGGATTTCCAGCTATGTATCTACATGTGCTGGATTGTATGTAGTACAACAGTAGTACTGGAAGTGCCTCGTTTGGGGTCCTGGCTGGATTGTGCTGGGTTGTAGTACACCTTTAGTACTGGAAATGCCTCGTTTGGGGTCCTGGCTGGATTGTGTTGGGTTGTAGTACAACTTTAGTACTGGAAATGCCTCGTTTGGGGTCCTTGCTGCATTGTGCTGGGTTGTAGTTCAACTTTAGTACAGGAAATGCCTCGTTTGGGGTCCTGGCTGGGTTGTGCTTGACGTATGAAGCTGTAAACCCTGTAGAGGAAAGAACTTCACGTCTCTTGATGCACAATTTCCTCTTAATGTTATGGGTGGGTTATCGCTTCTGGGCAGTCGCCTTATCGTTCTGCAATGGAAAAGTTAGCATCCATATGCCCACGTATGCCCGCAGACTAATTTTATATACGGAGAGAAACGCCTGTAGCTCATCTTGTGTTGCGGTATCTAGATCACCTTGAAGGCTTGGCATTTGCCAGGAAGCAATTGGTATCTGGACTTTCCCAGTCAACCTTTCCACATCAAGGGTGTGCAAGCCAAGATCCGTTTCATTTAGGGTCTGGCCGGTTCAATACTGCCCACCCAACATTCCCTCTTGAATTTCTCATGCTTCCATCACTGGTGTCCTCCTTTCTTCCTTCCTTCCTTCCTCCCTCGTTTCCTCCGTCTCTTTCTCCTTCCAGTCTTCCTTTCTCCCCTTGGTTGCTTCGTTCCCCAGATCAAGGTTTTGGAGAGTCCGAGCGCTTTTGCGTGTTTGGATCGGCATCCCATCAGACATGCCAAGGGCCCGGCAGGTGTTCTCTGTTCAATTGATCAGGTGATACGCAGAGCGCAGCTTAAGAGAAGCAAGCCAGCGAAACGCTTCAGCCAGCAGCACTCTGCACCTGTGCAGCAAAAGCAAAAGGCAGGAAGAACGTGGCTGGCTCTAACCGGCTCTAACCAGCATTCCGACAAGCAATGCAATGTGGATAACAAACTGAAATGCAACAGCGTGAGACAAGAGCATCTGGGTAGCGAGCAGGCGGTCGACACTGCGCTGTGCAACTTCGGCCCTGCAAACAAAGTCTTCCATCAATGGTAGCGCACTAGTCACTAGCCTCTGGACCCTCTGCCTCCGCAACTCAACTCCGGTAAGGTGCCGATGATCGCTATCATGGACTTCCTGACAGTTTGAAAGAGTTTCCGACCAGCCTCGGACATCCCGTCCCCGTCCGAAGCCTCGAAGCTGGCCTTGCCCTCGCCTGTCACAGCGCAGCACGGTGCCGCAGGTTACACACCCGGCTCTGATGCAGGACACACACCAGGCCTTCCACGACGACTAAAGGCGATGGTAAAGCTTGACATGCTGCAAGCACAGCCTGGCACGCGAGACACCTCACCTGGACCGTCGATTCAGCATCCCCTCCAAACCTCCTTGGTGGCATTGAGCATAGTTGATGGATCCGGCTGCTCAGTGGCATTCCGCGCATCTGCATATCAGCCGGCAGTCTCAGTGCCACTAGCTACAGCCTGGAATCAGTTTGGAGTCAGTTGGCAGAACTGATAGCTCTCACAGATATGAAGAAGTGCAGGCATCTGGATTTGCGGATAGTCGCTGGAACTGACGCTTCGGCTACAATCGATTCTGACATCCGTGCGTTGTGATATTCTGTGAGATCTGCAGGAGATTTGACAGCAAAATTTGACGCTAGCAGTTAGCAGGGCACTGTGAAACTAGCACCAAGCAGGCGACGAGTATGCAGCAATTGATTGCAACTCTTTTCAAACAACCGAATTGGACCTAACGCTTCCACGGAGCTGCGGACACTGCGGGAGGCCCAAACCGAACAGCACAGCTAGGGCGAGCGAATGCCAGCGAGCCTAACTCCAGCCCGATGCGCTCGGCCTCGAAAGATGGACTCTGAAGTTTCGCAGCTCCGTTACGGACGAAGCTTGCATAGTCTGAGACACTGGCTGCGATCTTGCACGCGGAACACAGCAGTGGGCGAGCCTCTGCCGCACAGCTCCCTCTGTACTTCCCTTAATAAAGAGCTTGAAGGCCACTCATTCCTGCGGATGATGCAAAAAATTGGCTCGGTGGGCTTCGTGCAAACATCACCGGCCTTGTCTGTGTATTTTTTCTGAAACCTGGTGGGTCCAGCAAAAGCAGGAATCATACGACATGCTCCAATGCATTCGAGATACTCCCTTTCGACATCCAGAAGACTGAAATCTGTCTCCACTTCCTCCTCCGTCCAATAAAAGATGAAGCGCTGCTTCTTCCAATGCGTGGAAGTGAAACGCATCCTTGGCTTGCTGCAGCTGCTCCAGGAAGTCAACACCTCAAAAGTCAATGTACAGGGCTGGGCTTGTAAGAGAAACGCAGTCTCAAAGGCTGCTGTTCATCTCCAGATGGATGAAGGGCGTTGCAAACCTGCCTTCGGGTGGCCTGCTCTTTGGCTCGGCTTGTAGCTGCGGCTGCCTCCACGGCGTGTGCACACGGTGTCGCCACTAAAGCTAAGCAGTCCTGTCAACAAGGTCTTATGAAATCCGAGTCGAACTCAGCACCTCAAACAAACCTGACATGGCCCTCAAACATGTGAAAACCAGTTAGTACTCAATGTGGCGATGTCACTGCGTGGGCATCAGAAACTCAATCCCATTCGGACTTTCACCCACGAGAGACCGCCATGCAAAAGCAAAGCACCTTTTTTTGCACTGGGCATGTAGTTTTCTTCCGTCCAACGAAAGTGTGCTTATCTGCTTGTCCAGAACATCCAGAACTCAGGGAGGTCAAAGCCCCGAAAGCACGTTCAAATTCCCAAGGACAACGCCACAACAGGCGAGAACCGTTTATGGGAAAGTTTGCAATGGCGCGTTGCCAGGCCACTTCGTTCAAAGTACCTAAGCATCACATTCACCATGCAGCTTGTTGCTGCTCTCTCCGAAACTGTGTTGTGCAAGATTTGGGTTATGCAGCCTGAAAGTGAACACTTGGTGACCTTGGACGACTTTGGCCTGACCGCACCGGTACGGCTAAAGCCGTGAACTTGGCTTTTTCACCAGGTACTGAGCACAAGCTTCGTCACAACAAAGGGATATCTAAACGCCCTGAGAAACACGAGGGACCACGCCAAGGTCGACTCTACAATATGCAGCAATTCAGGGTCAGTGTGGATCTCTCGCGTCTTGCTGAGGGAAGGCTAGCAAGTCTCACGGTGATGCCAGTGAGGATGCATGGAGCAGAAGGCCCGGACATGCCAGGCTGAACTGTATTGAGGTTGCTTCAGTGCATACCGTCGTTTGGTGCAAACTGATCTCCATCTTCACACTGGTGCCACACGCAAGTTGGCTTGGCGTCTTCGTGAAGCGATGCTAGTCGCTTGTTCTCTGGAACTGCTGTGGGAAAGGATTTGAATCCATAGCCCACAAGCCGGGCTTAAAGCAGTGTGCGGTAAATTGCCACACTGGCTGAGTGCGCAAATCCAGAACGAAGCACTTTATGGACTAAGCTAGGCATGCGCACGGGTCGGATAGGACAGATGAAGGTGTCGTCGATAACCGTGCTCCTTCCTCGATTCCTCGCTTCGGCTTCGCTTCTGTCCCTGGAAACGGACTTCTTCAAACGTTCATGTCCACCATGGGCTACAACACTGCGCGGTTCATGTTCATCGCGCATGATCAAAGCATCCCCTGTTTCACACAGCTGGCAAGCCCGGCACATGCACCGAATTTGGTCATCCTATCTAGGCCTTCTGGGCTTTGGACTGGAGCCTGCTCGTGATGCAAGCACTCGGCCACTGCAATTGGCAATGTAGCCCGAGAGGTCTGCATGCATAAGAAATGGAACTGGGGTGCAGAGAGGGATACAGTAGTGCGGCAGAGTGATGCAAGATTTCGTGTAATTTTCGAAGGGCTGAACCTTGGACGTTGGCTCAATTAGCCGGAGTCGGCTCTGCCGTCCCTATCACTCCGTCTTTCCCGATTGCAAGGGAGTTTCATATGCTTTGGCACAATCCTCCGACCGTGCCACGGAGTTGCCTCCAAAAGGGCCACAAGAGCGTGGATGTGCGTACTCGTCATCCACATCGCCCTTCTCGCACAATCCGTCTCTCCGAGCATCGTCGCCTCCTACTGTAGATGCCAAGCTTAATCAGTGACACATCTAGCCCTACGAGGATTGCCAAAGCTAAAGTCTTTACGTAAGCTCAAAGGAAGTGCTTCTGTGCTCGGGTGCAGTGGGAGCCATGCTCCGGGCGATCACATGTGTAAAGAATCGCCAGTAGATTGCAGTGAAGCAGGCTGCTGCCTCGGCCCCGGCTTTTGCCCCCAACACTGCCGATGGAGCCGCAAGATCCTTGCTGCCTCTATTGTCTTCGCTAAGGTGAAGCGCATCAATGCCTCTGCTTCTAAACTTGGTGAAAGCTTGCTGGGTCCAGCTATGTCTAGCTGAAGAGCCACTTGAACCACTTCCCATGGCAGCAAAGCCTCTAGGAGAAACGGATCAGCTGCAGCTCGGCTCGTCCATGGCTACTTCCTTCAAATGACCCTGTAGGAGAACACCACAACACTTGGAACCAAAGCAAGGCCAAGCTGACAAATACCATGGTTCCACTGGAGCTGCACTCGGTTTTACACACAATTGCAGCATCAAAAAATTTCCAGTGGAAACCCGCAGGTCATGCATGCATCTTGTGCGATCACAGATCACTTCTTCCACATACTTCCTGCCCTCAGATTGCTTGTGCCAGTAGTGTTGCAAAGTCACAACTTCCGAACGTCAGAGCTTCTCGATTTTGTGGAAACCTAGAAGACCACACCAATCGAATCAAAGGCTCTGTACTTCTCGCGTGACCGCTTGAGACCTTGACTGCCAGCTGTGATGAAGTCGTCCACGCTTTCTGAGCCGTTTCTCTTAACAAGTCAAGCGTCTCTGGACAACAGGGTCACGTTCCACTTCGGCAAAGAAGTCTTCGAGGCCAGCAGGCACCGGGTTCCTGCATCTCGTAATTTTCGAAGGGACTAGTGACGAGTGCACGTGCGACATGTCATCTGCGACGGCCCAGCGCTTCAGATCCCTGCCTGAACGGTCGCTGGATCCACTTGGACTCCAGGAGTCCGCCCCCGACCTTTTTCAATAGTTTCTGGACCTGGTCTGCGTTGGAAATCGCTTGGTGAATGCTACAAATCTGCAATAAAGGTACTCGAACTGCCAGACGTCTTAGTAGTTGCTGTTTGCCTTTCTCCGACAGGAAAGGGCAAGGCACCTTGCTGGAGGCTCGTTTGGATAGCTAATTGCCGTGTCCACTTGATGCCTCTCGGTTGTTGCTTTGGTCTTGGCTTCCGGCTTCTGACATTTCGCGCATCAGGAGGCTTACTGCAGCCTTGCGTGAAAACTTGACCCGGAAATTTGACCGATGCGACTAGTCGAAGGCCGGGTTTCCTGAAACCTTCGGCTGAATTTGAGGAATGCAAGAAGGAAGCTTCCTGCCTGCCCACTCTGTGTGCAGCAACAAGCTGTGCGGCCCCAAGAATCCTCGATACTACAGCGAGAGACATTCCCAAAGATGAACACGGATTACAGGATTGCAGCATTTGCCATGTATCCTGCCATGTTCGGTCTCTAGTGTCTGTGGCATTCAACTCGTTGTGTTGGGGACTTGCAGTAGAGGCCCTGCTTTACTGACATGTGCTGAGCATAGATGGGAATTCCAGGTCTGCCCATCAACCCGAGACCGTCCAAAATTCCAATCGCTTTGCAGGAGCGAGGCTGAGAGGACAGACCAGGAAGGTCAGACAATCCAAGGAAGCTTAGAATTGCGCTCCTTCTTGTAAGGATCAGCGCCGAAGTGAAGCAGCAGCTTGACCTCGATTTTTTCTTCGCAACGGCGACAAGACTTTATAGTCTAGCTGAAGTGTATGCTATATTAACAGCATTCTGTAGATCTACAATGTTTTGGGCACCAGCACACTTTGCTAGCAAGCGGACTTTGCAACGGGATCGTACAATCCTGCTTTGCCACGCGAGCCAAGTGTCCATGTCGTGGTCATTGTGCACCGCAGCAACATGCAGAGGATATGTCACTGCCAGACCGAGATGAACTCGCTTGCGGCAGTTCACATCAATCCTGCGCAATCACAACGCCAGGCGGCCTTCACTTGAAACTCTAGCAGTTCTTGCATGTCCTCTTGAAGCCGTTGTTGAGGAGGAAGTAGGTAACTTTCAGCTTGGCCTTGCGAGCCGACAAATGAATTCGCCAATCTTCAGGCACGATTGCCTGTGTTGCAAGAGCTGCACATGATGTCGCTTGGCCTGCGTCATCACCTTCCTGTGTCGTTGGACGATAAGGTCTCGCTCTTTGCCTGAAGATGAGGTGCATCGCGCTGGAAGTTCCGCTTCTACACGTGGATTGTCTTGCTTCACTTCTATCTGAATCATATCCGAGGCATGCTTTCGATGGCTGGCAGGCCGCTGACTCACCACTGTGGGCCCTCTATGTGAACATGCAGGCAAGCATCACGGATCTTCTGCCGAGCGCAAGTCTCTCACCACCACGGTGGGTGCCGGCATGGAACGGAGACCTTTCCTCAGCGTGAAGCCACGGGGCTACAGTACCTGTTGACGATTAGATGCCTGCGCGCCAATCCACAGAAAGCACGGCATAGACTTGGCCCAAGTTGATGAAGCTGATCGAAGCTCACCGAATGTACAGCAAAGGCGCTTCAGTGCACTCTTCTGCTTGTGAGCCTGGCTGGAGCATTGGATCAACACCGCCACCACCACCACCGGTGCCAACAACAACCAGGACCACAACCACAACCACAATTCAATTGAACGCTGCGCGAGCGGACTCCACGCATGGCGGGCGAATTACCGCACCAAGCACTCACTAGGTGTGAAACCGACCCATAAAAGTTGTGTGATGATGTGTGATGACAACTAGTAACTAGTATGGCGACTCTTGATGACCGATCCACACTGTGCCGCCTCGTACTGCTTAGAGCCGGCAAGCACATGAGAGGTTCAGAAGGCCTGCACACAGCGGTCTGAGTTCAGGGCGACACTGCTAGTGACGTTCGGCAAGGAACTTGTTCCTGCGTGAGGCAGTCGGCTCCAACTCTTTCGATCAGCATAGTCGATGCAAGCTGGCACTGTCCTAGGTAGCTCCTGTTGGTAGAGCTGACAACAGGTTGCTCAGGATGCCGGCTCGCTGCCTGTTTCCTGTGCCATTGGCGGCGAAGAGTACGGCGCTCCTTGGCCGACGCCAGTACAAAGCGTTGTTTGTTAGGCCGTGCCTCAGACTGGCCCGTGGCCCTTTGTCGTCAAAGTCTCAGTGCCCAAAGTAGCCGGTGATGAGCGGCAATTCACTGTAGGACTCACCATGGCCCAAGGCGATGGTGACGGTACCTATGATGGGTCTCGCTGTCATGGCCAGTGCCCAATTCGCCTTGGATTCTGTCGCAGCTTTTCGGCGCGGGGCCAAGATCCAAGGCGGCTTCTCAAGGATCTTGATTCGGTTCTGCCACATGCGGATGAGTACATGGTATTTTGCAAGGAGCTCTGGCGCCTCCTCAGGCAAGACATGGGCCACCCTCCTGCCCCGGGCTGGAACATGTCCAAACCTGCGGGCCAATCCGCAGTCACCCGCACCTGCACTACACCACCATTGCAGCCGGTCATCGCTGCGGAGGGAGAGCCGAGCGCCAAATCCCTATCACCAGAGCTGCTCCCTGATGGTGCACCTTCTTCCGCGACAACGACTGCTGCTACCGGAGCGAGTCCTTTCAACGCGTTTGCGGACACCGTTGCTAAGACACAGCGCAGGCAGATTCACGGTCGAGGCAAGCGGATACACCGCCGACCGCGGAAGCCGCAGCCCCACTCATTGGCGAAGCTGCCTCCATGGCCACGACCATGTTCGACTACACGACGCGCCCTTCCTAAGCCGACCAAGAGGCTGATCTCCCCAAGCGGGATCGCATCGTGCGGCCCCAGATGTTCGAGTGGGTCCACGCCCTGGCCACTATCCTAAGTGTCAACGAAAACGTCATAATGGGTGCACTAGGATTTGTCGAGAAAGGGCGTGGCTGATCGCCCAGAGCATCAGAGGGCGCCTGGGCTGGCCGTAGATGATGCCCTGGAAGATGTGATCCGTGTTCAGGCCTATGGCCATGATCGTGTACTCGCCCAGGAGAGTGCCGGGATGCATTGGACAGAGTCCCAATCGTTTGCACTCGTCAAGGTGGACCGAGTCCCATGCGCCAGCAAGTAGTTGCAGCAGACGATCGAAGGTGTCCCGAAAGGCGAATTTGATGTCAAAGTACAGCCCACCATGTGTGTAGTCGGCTCTGTGAGCAGGATGCTTTAGCGTGGAGAACAAACAGTTGGGCGCCATAGTCCCCAGCATGGAGCGACGTGGCTTGCCAAGCCTCGTCGTTGCAAAGGTGCGCTGGAAGCCAGGCAAGAACTCCTTGCAATTTGGGGAGGGTCCTGCGTGGTCGTTGTGGATGTATGTCTGGAAGACGGTCTTGGGCATGGACCTGCGAACTCCAGGAAGTGGCGCAGGACCCCAACTCCTTTGGAGATGCCTGGATCCTAGTTCGGACAGTGTCCCTGATTGACATAAGCCTGCTGCGACGTGCATCTCACGGTGGACCGTGTGTCCCCCTGCGGCATTCCATGAGCACACCGCCAGCACATGAAACACCCTTGAGCGGCTGATCCGCATCTGGTCCAGGGCCCGGCCAAGAAGGAGCCGTATGGCCTGCGAATCTATTTGCTGTCGGAAATTGACAGTTTGTACAGCTGATCCACCAGGCCTGCACTTTGGCTTTGAAGACTCATGATGGTTTGATCTGACAATTCGTAGGCTGCCAGTCCGTACTGGTCGCCAGCCAGTCATAGTTCTTCTGCTTTTCTGGCAACAGACCATGTCTCATCGGGATGAGCTGCGCATACACTTCCTCGTGGAAGTGTTTGTAAAGGGAATCCAGGAGGCCTGGGTGCTCCGTTGGGAACGGAGTCTTCTCGCCCACAGTGCGGACGAAATGCCACTCCAGGCTCCAGCACTGCAGGAACGCGAGGAGCGGTGTCGTGGGGTGAGATCAGCGCAGCCCCGGGCAGATAATAGCACGCCCGCCCTGAACTGGCTCTACTCCAGATGATTTGCCGGCGTTGTCTATCCACGGCAGGCACTGCAATGCTCCACGCATGGCGGTCAATTACCGCACGAAGCACTCACTAGGTGTGAAACCGACCCATTGATCAAGGAATGAAGCATGATTGAGTAACATGATGATGATTGGCTAGGCGTCTCTTAGTGACCGATCCACACTGTGCTGCCTCGTGCTGCTTAGAGCCGGCAAGCACATGAGGCTGCCTCCCCATCTCCACCGAGCGGGGTCGCCTGCCGCGGCTGTCCCGTATCCCACTTCACCATCGAGCACCTGCGAGGTTCAGGAGGCCTCCACACAGCAGGACCGTGGTCTGAGTTCAGGGCAAAGTTGTAGCGAGCTTTCGATTGTGCAGTGCCTGTGCATGCCCATCGGTTGATAAGCCATCTCTAGCGCAACTGCAGCAGACTGGGACTGTGCATGACGTGAGGTATGACCTGAGGCAGAGCTATCGTCGCGCTGCCCGTGACTTGCATGCAATTCCTTGTCTGTCTGAGCCTGTGACGACTGCGCCGCTCAAATAAAAATGAAGACCGCGGCAAGCCATCGCTGGTGCCGGCTAAGCCGCGTTTGAGGCAGCAGCCAATGCCGCATGGTGGGTATACAAGCTCGCACAAGCAAGTGCTCAGTTCCAGCTTCCCAAGTAGAAATTGACAAGCGGGCTCGCCTGCTTCGCTCCAGAGCCACCGCAGGGCTCCCGAGTGAAAATAAAATCGATCTGATTGCGGGCCTCACCCTGTTCGTAGATGAAGCACTGTCGACAGTGCCATGTGTTGCGCGCGACCAGGCGGAGCCTGCTCACCAGGTTTGTCAGATTGGCTTCGTCTGGCCGTGGGTCTGCCAGCTGTGCCGTTCGGGGACCTTCAAGCGATTGTGTCGGAGAAAAGGATGTATTGAAGTCTCCAGCCACTATGAAAGTGTCCCGCTGTGGCACTTGCTTCACTGCCTTCGTCAAAACAGAGAAGACTCCAGCTCTGTCGCTACGGTGTCCGTGTTGATAGATGGCCATGATGGCCAGCCTGGCACTGGCCCAGTAAGCCCTGCCCTCCAGAACACGTTCCCTAAGACATTCCTTCCAGCGAATCAGAGCCTTGCTGAATTTCGGAAAGAAGGGAACCATGAAGCCATCTGCTGCTGTGGTAGAAAGGGGATTACTTGCTAACCCTGCTCCTGATTGCGGCCTCTTCTGCCAGCCCGTTCTTGCTTGGAGTTGGAACTTGGGGAGCTTGCAGAAGAAGCGCAGTACCATCCTGATACCATAAATTCTGAAAACTCCTTCCAATGGGTTTCCTGTAAGATCAAGATGTCGCAAAATTTGTCTGCTTCAACCGCCAGCCAAGTCTTCATCTCAGCCCATTGTTGCTGTCCAGGTGCCCCGGAGGCCGAGTGCCCTGAGTGGCAGGGGGGCAGTTGCCCATACGCAGAAGCAGCTGCGGGGTGAGGGGCTGACCTCTGTAGGACACGGTTGCCTGGTTCTGAACAACTCTTCTGCATGCTCTTTTGAACGAAGTCTTATGCAGAGACGGAAAATTTTGCGAGTGCACTGGAAGCCACGCCATCCGCTGTTTTCGCTACAATGTAGCTCTCTCCGAGGCGCGGTAAGTGGAACCCTACCGAGACAGAGACTGGGTCCAGGAAGTGGGACCTCGCGGATGCAAACCGGCTCAGCCAAATTGGCACATGGCTCAACAGTGAGGCTAACTCACCGTACGTTTAAGTAGAGACACTAGAGAATTAGAGCCCAAGGTCTGTTCGACAGCCACGCGAGCTACCCTGCCAGTCTGATCCGTGGCAGCTACAGCAACAGCAACAGCAACAACGTCGACGACGCCAACAACAGAATACGCATATCCTCAGTATGCTGGACAACCTACGCCTTAAGAATGGATGTGTGCAAACCATGGTGCCCCTGCAAACGGGATCAAACGGGGGTCCACGACTGTTCGAGATGGCAAGAAATTCTGGCTAAGCTTGTTCGCCGTTGCTGTTTGCCAATCGAGCCCACCGCTAACACAGGCTGCCTGCACTGAAGAGATCTTTTCTGAGGCCGGCTCGGAAACCTTCCAAGAGCGTCTTGCAACCAGCTTGAGGCTTTAGCAAAAAGCCATGCAATCGGAACACTTGAAGCTGTATTCTGCATGCATGTCGAGCTCTGCGAAGTGACGAAAGGGGAGGCCTGACTCGGGCGGCTGCAGCGCCAGAAGTCCATAGTCATAGTACCGGGGAGTGCTTTGAAGTGCAGTGCCATACTACGTTACGCTGCTTCTTTCTAATACTGCAACTTAGAAACTTTCAGGGAATTTTCTGCGAATACGTTCGACCATGCTTGACCATCTTCTGTGTGAACTTGGCGAGAGGAAGCTTATAAGCCAATGCCTGGAAGTGCCAGCGACAGCAAGGCATTTTGATTGGAGACCGTGGCGAACAATGGAAACAACAACACACAGGGATCGGGTGCCACGGCTGATGGCGAGACATTCTGTGAAAAGGCCTGGGGAATCGCAAAGAGAGCTCATACAGAATCAAGGCCACCACCTCGGCCGGCAATTAGGCTTTGGGAAGATGTGCTTGACACTGCAAGTTCGACCCCATGCAAACAAGTAAGTGTACACGAGCGCACATGAAGCTTGTACCGTGGACTGAAGCCGCTTCAGGTAGTAGACAGGAGTTGGATGCCAATACCTGCTAACGCAGATGCACAAGTTCAACTATGTCTAACTGTTCAGAACATTTCTGTTGGGAAAGCGAGTCTATCGATAGAGCTGACCTCTGGTTTGGTTGGCACTTATTGGCAGATCGTGTGAGTCTGCAGTGAGTTGGGCAATGACCTGCACCTATTGGATGGATCTGAATTGATCTGAGCATCAACTATCGCTTGGAGTCGCTGTTGACAGGACGAGAACGTGCAGCCAAACAGCTTTCGACCAGCGACGTTCTGAGATGTTCTGAGGTGAGACCAGTAGCAGAAGCTTCGTTTCTGAGAAGCCCGCGACACACGCAGCCAATGACCCAGCCACCCAGCGCCAGTCCTGTTTTTCGTCTTCAGAACACTCTTCCGGGCCCGCTCCACTTTCTTGCAAACCGTCTTGCTCTATGCCGCTGCGGCAGTGGCATGAAATCAGGTCCCACCTGGCCGCGGGTGAGCGGCAACTTCTCTCCTGATCGTTATTATTCTCACTCTTTCCTAATCCCCGGTCTTTCCTAATCCCAAGTACCTGGATCGAGCCTTGCGGCAGTTTCAAGGGCATCGCTTCAGGCTGTATGGCGTGAATGTGATGCACCGGCACACCTGTCGAACACTGCGGCGCTTCGTGATCCTCCAAGCCCGGAGCAGGCACCTCCGCTGCCTCCAATCGGATCCATGCCATGCATGCCATGCTTCATGGCTCGGATGCGGCTGCGGCAAGCTGCTCCGTGCTGTCTGCCAGCTTGTGATCATGCTGACAACATGTCTAACTTGACGTCGCGGTCTGCGCAGTGAAGCTGCTACAGGAGGGTACAGGCAAGTCGCAGTACCTTTGTTTTTGAGTCGACAAGCAGTAGATGCTCAAGGCTTGCTTTCGCACTTCTTCCTAAGTTTCAGCTGGTTGGACAACACGACAGTCAATCATGATCAATCATGCAAGGATAATCTGACCGCCGTGCAGTCTGACTTGACAGGCACCTTGACATTGCGTTTGCCAAAGCCCCGCAACCCATATGCTCTTTTGTCAGTCTTGTGGCGGCCCATTTACTGCAGCTTGTCGTCTATCTGCTTCTGTAGCATCTTCAGCGCCTGAAATCGCGAAATTTCTCGCCGATGTCACATTCGACTTGGACGGCTTTGGAGACTCAGGAGAAATGTCAGTAAGTCCTTGTAGCGGTTCTGCAGTTTCAGGTTCCTCTGCTTCTCATGCTCCACCTGAGGATCCGTCCGGGGTTCGGGCCAGGCTCTCCGAGCGCTTAAGAGGGTCTGGCCTGATCCCTGAGCTCCTCCACGCGGCTCTGAATGGCCTTCAGAGAGATGTGAACCCTGGAATGCCCAAGTGGCTCGAAACCACAAAAGAAAAAGGCCTTCTCTTCTCTCGCTCGAAGGGTCTGGAAGACTTCTGTCTCGATGGAAATCGTCTCCCGCTCCTACGAAGACGTCTCGTGCAATATCAGAAACCAATCGTTCACGGATGTCGGCACAGGAAAGTCCTCAGAGAGCTTCCGTATGTGAAGCAGCGCCTGTCTCGCCTTTGTCATGTAGCCTGGGCCACACTCCAAAGCAGGGCCTCTCCTCTGCTTTGAAGCCACGGAGGCTCCCAGCCTCCGAGGAGTCTTTCCATCTTCTCTTCCAACTTCTTCGACTTCTTCACCTCCTCTGGTGCTCTTCATGCACACGTGCTGCAAGGTTGCTCTGTCTCCTTCTGGTGGTGCGAGTCCACAATCTCGAACCTCAGGAAATGATTTGTGCTGGCTCCTATGCAACCGCGCGAGGCTGTCCGACCCTCAAGACAACTCAGACACCTGGCACCATGCAAAGGCAAGTGGGCATTCTGGCATGCGGCATTAGCTGATGGTGAAGCAATGTGTCTGAAGAAGAGAAGCCGAATCGAGGAGCTGCTGTAGCTGGAAGTGGAAGCAGTTTTGTCTCAGCCTGCGGCTTATGCCTAGCGGACTCCACCCGCTCCTTCTTCCCCAGGAGTCGGCCATCAACGTAGCGTTTAGCAGAGGGCAGGAAGACCTGATACTTTCCGGTTCCACACTCTCAACGGAACCTGTCTCTGCAAGGCTCCTTGCGTAGGGCTCACTGCTGGTGCTCTCGTCGAAGGCTGCCTGGACGACCATACCGGGATATACTGGGCAAGCAAGCTGCGCATCGGTGCTGGCAGGATCTGGCCCTGCCAGAACCGTGGCCTGCACAGCCACCTCCGAGTTGTGACCACCGCCGGCATCCTGTTGGCTGCTAGGCGCAGCATACAGCATCCGACATCAAAACACCCGGCCTGTGCAAAAGCCTCCAATTCCTCTTCCAGCAGCTCACTCGCGCCTTTCAACCTTTGTAACAGGCACCCCACTCGACATCGCTGCTACCGTCTTGCAAGCAACTGGGACACCATGTAGGGCGCACACTCCTCCAGGCTAAAGTCAATCCCAGCAGGAGGAGCCTGCAACAGGTTCTCTCAACAAAAAACCTATGCGATGCAAAAACATGACTTACGATCTTGTACCATCGGAAGGCCATGCTCCATAGCATGCGCACTACTACGAATGACGGTCGCAACACTAGCGGTCACTCGCGGGATCAGCTTACAAGGCTTGCCGTGGCTTGCTCAAGACAAACTGAAAGATGTGCAATTGCGCCTTCTTTGGGGGCTTTGCGCCCTTGACTGGGAACAGTACTGCATCGCGAGTTACCATGGCACCCATCTCCTGTCGACCCGGCGGCTTTTCCCACCACATTGCGGTATGAAGCCTAACCTACGACACTTCGTGACACTTTGTGTTTATCCGTACTCCAGCACGAAGAACTCCCCAGTCCTACGAGTGCCGCAAACCCAGTCCTCGTGCAGCAAGGTTTCTGCCTGCTGCAGCCTCGTGAACTAGCCCTCCAGAATCTGGTAAGGCTATGTAAAGCTTCAGTTCCCCAAATGCACATACAGAGACAGAGAGAAGGTCGACTCTACTACATCCGTTTGCAGCTCAGACGCAAGTGCTTGGGCCCTTCAAGCACTTCCCCGGCCTGTGGGTCGAAACGAATGACATACGATGACACATGCTGCTGTCATCCTGGCTGACAGCGGTCCTGCGATGCAGCGCTTTCAAAGATCATCATCCCTGTCTGCACCTGGGATGCTATCTGACACTGCAAAGATGGAGCAATCCATGTCAGAGTGCAATCCTTGCAGCCTTCCAAGCACCGCTTACCCGAAGATAAGGATGGTGGGATGCTCTCTTCCGGCCGCCACTGCTGGGCACCGCACAGGTCGTGGCAAACCCAGCTTCACAGGCTGACTTTGCTTTTGACGCTCGATCTGTCAGCATTCAGACAAGCCAGGTGAAAGAAACAACAAAAGGACGAGATGTGTGCCTCCAGTCTTTTCTGCTCCTCCTTTGCCCTTCGCTTATCGGCATCAGCTGCATCTTCCTCCAAAGGCCTCGCTAGCCCTCGTGGGGCAATGAGAGGAATACATACATGGGTTTGTTGGATAGGCTATACAGTAGTGGGATGGCCTACAGAGAGATACGGAGAGAGTAAGGGCCAACCTGAGCTCCGCACGCCTGCGTGTCCGCTTCTTCCTCACAAATGCAATGCAGGCCAATGATGCATAATTAACTCCCAAGAAAAGCCCTGCAACATTGTCTCCTTAACAGAAACCCCAGACGTGCCTCCATGAGATCTGGCATCGAGATTTCCACTTCGTTCATCGGAGCAGGCAGGCTACCTAACCTTAGTCTAGAAAGCCGAAATGTCTTGTCATTACAACTCCTTGCCACAGCCCAATGTTCGGAGACCAGAAACAAACACATCATTGAGTCCCCCACGCAGCTTGCATCTGCATACGCTGGTTTGCCCTGGGCAAACTTAGGCGCTCTGTTGATGGCGTCGGGTTGGCTAAAGGCTTCACACAGGGCGGAATGTGGTTGATTCAAGAAAGACTTGCACGAAGGCCCTCAGTACATGCTGTGGCAATTTCTGGGACGTTGCAGAATCCGAGCGAGTTGGTCTAGCTAGATGCAGCTACGTCTGGCTTGCCTCTGCAATAAGCACACGGTGACTATTCCGGTTCCGACAGCATCGTGCTGACAGGCCACTTTCGAATCCTGTCCGGCATTTGCTCCAGCTCCTGCGAATGGCGGCCGCGCCGCTGCACGACAACATGATTGCACCCTGGATACTAAGACAAACGATTTCACGCATCACCGAGCTTCTTCACTGCGACCGTGGACGCAAATGCATCGAATGCCATACCCAGTTTACTGGCAATGCTGCAGCCCGAAATCAGTCCAACCCGAAGCCATGAATCGAGCGTGCCACAGTCATGGCACTCGCGAAGCTGCCTCATCCTGGTTTAGCGCCAGGCCGTCACGAAGGCCCTTGCCAGCCTCGGCTTCAGTGAGGGATCTATTCTGAGCTGTGAGCTTCACTCGCTGGTTTGGGCCCGCATGATTTTGTGGCCGCCTGATGTGCCATTCTGCGCTGCAGCGATCTGCTCTCGTCGCCCGAGTTTCTGGCGGTACTTGCTCCCCCTGGAGTCGCACCTACACACGCGGGAGCATCTTTGGGAAACTTGCAAGCTAGGTCTTGCACGGCCGGTCAGCCGAGACGATGGCCTCCGGGCCCCGGCGTCTGTCCAAGCAGTGGGTTCCTTTCCACTCGGATCGGAGGCTGCCAGCAGAGGCTTTGCGTATCGCAGACTCGACTGCAAGTAGGGCGCGGAGTAAGGCCCGCAGTTGCATTGGCCCGAAGCCCAGGTGTCTGCGCCAAAGGGTTCGGAGTGGCTCCAGGTGTAGCGCCAGGAGTCGCACCTGCCACACAAGGAACTGGCCTGGTCTTGAGTATGCGCATGGCATGCGACACGATTGCCATATCATAAAGTCTTTGCCCGAGACATAACAACCCACTTCCCAACCCCGCAGCGGAACATCCGTCTGCCTGGTGTCATTCCACCCAACATGCTTGCCACCTCCTCGCGCGGCCTCGGGAGCACGGAAGCTGACATGCTGAACGAAATGGCTACTCTCATCTTCTGTTCCTTGCCCACGATCATTCATCACGATGGCTTTGCCTACGGACTGGGAGCCGTACGTGACACCTGCTTGCACCTGTCCACAAGACTGCGGCTGCCTTAAACCTCTGCTTGGACATGCTGGCTCAGCTTTTGAGACATGGAAGCATTTTCAGGCCCCCGAGCACCTGCGCCTCAAGCATGACAGGGTCCGGCCGCCTGCCCAAATCTTGACTCAAGGCACAGGAACATGATTTGCGGCGACGGAAGGGAACCTTGGAGTTCGAACAGGAGTGGCGCCAGGAGTGTCGCCATAGCTTTGAACAAGGCCGGCCGTGGAAGTGTCGGCCTCGAGAAGGTGCGGTGACTAGGGGTTCCTTGCGTGTTTCCTTCCTTCTATTCGGCAAGTTGAGACTTCGACACTCTCGGCTTGAAGGGCAGCTGCATCTGCACCTTGCAGTATGAGCCGGAAGAACAGATGTGCACAACTGGAACCACTCACTGTGCTTCGACATGTCGGAAACATGGCTCTGTGGGGCGGATGCCCATTTTGACGATGGCTTCGAGTTCCTCGTCGTTAAGCTGCGGGGCAGGCAGGCTCAATGCCTAAGTGCGGGCCAAAGTGCTGCCACACTAATCGGATGTGTTGATTCTAAATTTTGAAGCACCTCGGACGTGACAGTGTTTCCCCAGCAGCAACAGCACATCTAAGATCGCCAGCCGTTCGTTTTCGAAGTTGCTGTGGGTCCTGAGTGTGGTAGCTGAGGTCTGCTCAGAAGCAGATGGCCGTGGATCATCTGGGTGATTGGCATTGAGCTTGTTGATCATGTCGATGGCTTCAGGGAGGTTCTCCTCCTTCAGGCCTCAGTTTGCCCTGCTCAGAAAGCAAAACATGCGCGATTGGCTTTTGCAGTTGCGATGTGCAGTTCGGGTCCCTTCTGGCTAGCGGCGCTTGAGCTTCCTCTCATCATCCTTGCGGCGGCGCCTTTCCTCATCGAGTCGGCTCCTGTGCTCAACGGCCTGTCCACACCCCGACGGCACCCGCGCAACTGTGAGAATTGCGAGTTCCGACCTACCTGCAGTGTCACGTTTGCCATGCCCATGGTGACCCTTGGCGTCTCCTGGCAACACTGAGAACGGTAAATACCGGACGAAGCGAGAACCCCCTCTTCCTGCTGAGAAGCTACGAGCCGAACTCTCGGTGTTTGAAAGCTTCATGATGCCCAACAGCACCCGCCAGCTGCACCACCGAAGCAGCATCAACGTCATCTATCGTCTTAAATCCAGAGAAGACAACATGCACTTCACATGAGGTCCTCCGGTCCCACTTCGTGGAAGCCGACTGGAGGGACAGCCTGCCAAGCGCAGAATCCGTGCTCTGTACAGTATCGTCTAGTCTTAAAGTCGTATCACTTGCGTGATTGACATGGTGCCAAGCAGGTGCACCTCGAAGGGCACTTCCTCTCCATAGTCAATGTACTTGCGTGACTTGTACCTGGCAAGACTGCAGGACACTGCAAGGGATGTGTTCTGCACACTCCCGAAGCGCTGGCATCAAAGGTAGCATAGAGAAGACTGCATTCCCCAAGCAAGGCCCTAGGCCCGATTTTTAGCAGGATCCGAAGGCAGAACCCGAATTCAACTGTTCCGGTCACCCAGCGGCCGATTTATGACATCGCCCGTCACCAGAACCCTGCATCTCTCTTGTTAGTGAGCATATGTCACTCCAAGACTAGGCTCGTCATTCTTCCTGCCGCCATCGCTTGTCGCCGGGGCCGGGGCACCTCCGTGAGGTGCTGATTCCCGCGGCTTTGAGCTCGCGCCCTGAGCGTGTGAAGCACCAACCGTTCACAGAGCCGACTCTTCGCTCTGAACCTTCACTTGGTCTAAGCTCCCTGCTTTTCTGCAGTGCAGCAAGCCGACGTGCTTCTTCCAGCTGCTTCTCACGGGCCTTGTAGACATGTGATGCTGGCCGCCAGAAGATTCATCGGTCTTGCTCAGTCGTGGTAATGATTCTGCGACAGTTTTAACACACACCACATCACCTTTCACACAAATTGCTCTGCTTGAGCAAAAGTCTTCACGTGACAAATCGCAAGCTGAGATGCCTTTCGCTTGGCCTTCTTGCCCCGAGTGTTTGCCAGCCTTGCGCGGGCCTGACCATCCGTGACGCTAACTACATCAGATGTGCTATGAACACTTCGCAGAATCAGGAAATCCCCTCTTCACAACAAGATAGTTAGATGGAGCGGCTACTTCATTCCCTGTGCGGTTGAAAAAAGCTGCACACAGTGTTGAATCTGCCTCTGACAGCATCTCTTTCTCATCCTCGTCCATGTCAATCGGATCCGCCCTGAAAAGTTGCAGAAAGCTCGGCTTCAGAGGCGAAAGAAACTCAAGATGGGCGTGTTACACATCTGGTTTGGTGCCTCGCGGGCTTCGTCTCCGGATGAGGATCGATCTCGCCCGGCCTTAGATCGGAATCAAACGCTGCTGAAAAACCCCGCAGAAGGTACGACCCTTCTGGGACTCCGACTTCAATCGGCGCGGATCGTTTTCGTCCATTTCGTCTTTGCCCTGGCGAGAAAACGCAGGCAAAGGATCTCCCGATGTCGCAGGACACTTGGCCTGGGCTTGGTCCAAGAGCTTCTCGTAATGCTCGAGACACTGGTAGGCTGTGCGGCCTCTGCAAAGCTGGTGAAAGAAGCGCTGCTCAGATGATGCAAGTCACGATGCAGTATCCGGGAGCAACATTTAATCTCTTGCATCCTGTCATGAGGTTCACTGGACCTCTTCAGTTCAGCTCCAAGCCGCAGGCCAACAATGGGAGCTATTGTTCGCCACTGGGTTGGAAACAGTTTCGCCAAGTGTAACAGCTTCTCCTGCATGCATTTGTTGCATCAAGTGGGCATCAACCCATGGCAGTGAAAGAACCTCGACACCGGAGCTAGTCCTGACGACTGATGCGCAGGTTTCTAGGCACAACAAAAACGACTAGTCTCCAACAATTCCCGTTGAACATGCCGACGCTTGCATGTGTAGCGTGCCCAGTACATTCAAAACTTTCCTGCGAAGTCTCAAATACAGATACACATCTCCTCCTCCTCACGCGTCCACTCGGTTTTCTTGACACTGGGGTCAAGCCTCGCTGGTTCGGTGCGCAGGCTTCGGTGTTGACGACGTCGCCAGCACATGCAAGCTTCCGACACTGCAGAACAAGGGACATATGCTGCCAACACAAAGTTTCGTCATGGTTCGTTCGACCACTCTGAGTTCCATGCCATTCGTACCAGCGAGACTTGCACTGCTTCGGGCTTTTCCTGCACAATTGCATGAGATGAAAGGCCACATCCACATGCCGAAGGATGGATGTAAAATTCTAAATTCTATACTGCTCACTCATCACTCAACGGATCTTGCAGCCGGCCTGGCCAGTAGAGACGCAACTCGAGGCCAGTTGTTCAAGCCATATTTCATGACCGCAGCCTCTTATGGAAGGCTCGCAAGACAAGAAGGGTGCAATGGGCAAGTGTACTGAATCCCCTCTGCCCGCGTCGACGTGCCTTGAGGACTTCATCCTCTGAGTTCTTCCAAACTCCTGGAAGTCCGCTTCACAGCACGGCAGATCAGCTAAACGCAGCTCTCTGATTTCCCCTGCCTCCTTTAATGAGGATCCTCATCTTCCTCAGCTACGGGAAACACCGCATCAGGCAATGTATGTGTCCAAGTACGACTGCTGTCGAGCGGCGCTGGAAGCCCTCTTGGTTCTGGCTGTCACGGAGAGCAGGAGATGGAGTTTGCGGGTGCGGATGCGCTTCTAGCAGCGCAGCCGACCACACATTCGAGGTATACTGAAATCGATTTTTGCATGAGTCCTCCAACTTAGATTTCTGGATAGCAAAGCATTCCCGTGTTGTGTAACTACTGCGGGCTCTTTGGCTTTCTATCTCCATGAGGGACTTTCGAACCGTGAAATCGCGATGCCGAGTTGCATGCTTCACAGGTTATCTAAGCCTCTATGCAAGTCTTCTTCCGTGTGTGCAACTCCTGTCACGCACTTCTGCTTCCCACACCGACGCACCGCTGCTGACATGTTAGCAAGAGGGCGCGCAGGCGCAGGCCAGATGGCATGGCCAGAAAACGATTCGAAGTATCAAGCTCCCGATAACCTCCCGGACGAGGCAAGCCGAAGGGGAGGCCTTGCTTGCAACAGCTAAACCTCTAAAGTCTCGCAGGGTCCAAGGGTCCTTGTAGGGCTGCTTGCAGACGTGAACCTATGCGAATCGGCGTGCCTTTGACAGCAGAGTCTCTCAAGATCCATGTCGTCCACTCGTCTTGTACAAAACATCACACAGTTTTGCTTCCCACATGAATGCTGGGGTTTGCGAGCACTGCAGGCGCTGGGAATACGAACGTTCGCATGGAGCCGGAATTTTCAATTCAGAATTCCGTTCCGTCTGAGCCTGTGCAGATGAGGGTCGCAGCCTTTCATGAGAGGCAGCAATGATCTTCCGGAGATGGCCACGTAGCTGGAGATCCAGCCAGAAAACATTGGCTTGGTGATGAGATGCGGTGAAGATGCGGAATTCGTAGCATTCGGGGCCTTCGCGGCCGACTCTTTCTCGCTCTGCTTCCCTCCCGGTGCCTAGGCTTGATGCACGCGAAAATGCTTTTCTTGGTCCAAGCTTCAGCACGTAGAAAGGCGACACCTCGGCAAAGGTCTTTAGCAAGCCACCCTCGACTTAAAATTCGGACCGTAGTTGCAGGTGCAGCCTTTAGCCCAAAGATCCGTGTTGCAACAGTGTGCAAGGTCCTGTACAGTGGAACAGACCGTCTCGCTAAGACATGAGAAGCATCTTGTTCCGTGCGAAGAGGCACAAGTATTGAGACGGCCCCATGTCGTCTGACTCCGTCAGCTTTTCACGGAGCATTACAGCAGACAGAGCTGTCTCTGCCTGCCGTGGCGCGCCCCTCTTCGTCGTCGAATTACGGGCTAAGGCTCCCTCCCTGCACTTCCGAAACAAGGCTAAGCAATGAGCTTTCGAACCGCAAGACACCCCTTGCACCTTGCCGGTTCACAAATTAATAACTGCTGTGGCTATACACTCATGCACTTGCACAGGCGTGTCAGTGTTGACCTCACCCGGGTAATACGCTGGCTCGCAAACCGACGAGAGTCGCGGGCCAAATTTTCGCTGAGCGGCCTGCAGTATGTGCTGTCCGTTGACTGCATGTCTAAGCTTCGGTCTCAGCACAGTGAGTAGCTCCAGGATTCGTTGCTGCTCAATGCCCTGACAGTCCTCCATTACTCGCTGCGCAATGTAATTGCCGAATCGATCCAAAGCTATATGCTCAAACGGTGAAGTTGTGCTGCCACTGCTGCCACCGAGAATAGTTTCCAGCATGTCGTATCTTTCCTGAAGCAGCTCGTTCTGGTATTTCCCCTTTAACGCATCAAGGAAAGCCTCCATCACAAGGCTGGCGTGCCGATGCTGCGCATAGGTCAGCACGTTTGCCGTCAATGCGCGGCCGATCATCTTGATGTGCACCGCTTTCCCAGAGCCCAGAACTGCCCTGAGAACATTGTTGCCATACGGATCCATAATTAACTGGTGCAGATTCTCTTGGTGCAACAGTTCATCCAGAAGTGCCATCATGCTTCCACTGTGAGGGCAATGCTCTATAAGTCGCTGCATAACACGGCCGGAATAAATGTGCAAAGAGGTATCGACAGCATGGTGTCTAAGCTCCTCCACAATAAAGCTGACCGCATCGTGGCTGAGCAGCTCCACGCAACGTTGGAGCACGAAGTTGCCGTGACGGTGTCGACAGCACGCCAGAACGTTCCCTCGTAGCTCCTGGGCCAGCGCAGCATGGAGCTCTGCCGGAGCTGCCTGCAACGCCTCCTGCACCACCCAGCAGCCGTGCTTGTCTTTCGTCAGCTTCAGCAAGGACCCCCGGAGTCGGCGAGTCAGCTTTAGTCGCAAATCATCGATTCCAGGCAAAGCTAGGAGCTGACTGATTACAGGCATTGCATTCGGGTCACAAGCGAGCACCTTCAAATCCGGCAGCAAGGACGTCACCAATTCTGCACAGAAGCTTTGCAGCTGAGTTGCACTCAGACTTGCCAGCTGACAGCTGAGCATCGAGGCTCCTTCCTTCGTGCGCAGCAGCGCTACCCAATTGGTGCCTTCTGGGCTTGGCTTAGAATGTCTGTCCCGAGTCTTCTTGCTGGCTTTGCCAGGCAACAGATTTGGCAACGAGGGCAGGGGAGCTGGAGATTGTTGAGAATGACCGACATTTTCCAAGCCAGGAGGAGGCTTGACCAGAACGGACAAATGGTCTGACAGCTTCAACGTGTGCATTGTACTCCCGCTTGAACTTCCTGCGGCCTCTGCGGAAAGCTGCATGGCTTGGGTCATGGCTTCGGTCAGGGCTTGTGTCATGACTTTACCCTCTGAATGACAGATGGTCTGTGCATTGTGCACTGACCAGCTGCCAGAGTTGACCTGTGCAGTGTGCACCGGCCAGCTGCCACAGCACGGGCTGCGGTGGCTTCCATCGGTGTGACCGATTTGCTCACCGGTCAGGGCTTGTGTCATATTCGTCATGTCTTCACTGCAACAGGCCGTCGCCCTGCTGCAGAGCCGGGACTTCCGCTTGAGCCCTGAATTCCAATCTCGAAGAGAAGCCCTGTCATGTGTCAATCACGGACGTTCCGACCCTAACTCTGAAGGAAGAGCTGCAACAGCGATCATGACTGAATTTGGCAATCCCCAGATTTTGTGGGACGTGGCGCATTGAGGAGCAGGTCAAGTTCCTCTCTGCCAAACAAATCTGGAAATTCATTTCTGGCAACGCAACCTCATAAGCCAGGCCTCTAGTGAAGCCAACAGCTTGTAGGGAAGCGGCGCGAACATATTTCAGCCGGAAACCGCTCAGGTTGTGGAAGCATCAGGCTGCCAAAATGCGCTTCAGTGGTGCTTGATTTGGCCTGCGGATTTTAAAACTCGGATCGGCCGAGCTCATCTCCCACAAACACCATAAACTCAGGCCATCTGAGAACCGATCAAGCGCCCGGTCAAGTAAGACTTTGCTTCAAGCCGCATATAGAATCTAGAATCTGATCCCAGTGCGTGATAAAGATGCGGCTGATTCACATGTAGGAAACGCATACGAAACTTGTGTGTCAGTGTCCCTGGCTTCAGAAGTGGTAAGTTCATTGTCAGTGGCCTGCCCCTTGCCTGAGGAAGGTTTCACGGACTTTGTGAAACGCAGCGGAGACTGGGAGACAGCAACTTCATGCAGATAATCTCCAAAGCATCTCTACCATTTATTGAAACTTTTGCCTCCTGGGCCTGTATCTGTTCAGACGCCCTGGTGCAACGAGAGGGGTGCAAAACAAAGCTAACACATGCAAACAACGGGTGCCAACATCCGCGGAAATGACGCAGGGCTCAAGCAGAGTTCGGCAGACTTGGCTTGCAAGATCTGACGGGCTCACAGGCTTTGCCTCCTGCACCGACTGCGCCGATGTCAACGAGGAAATCTTTCAGGTCTCACCTGTGACACCTCCTGCGCTCTCAGTATCTGCCAAGCAACTCAAACAACGAAGATATCCTTCTTGCCAGCCTCAAACGTCATGCTCATACCAAACAATGTTGTACCCCACAAGAGGCCCCCGAAGCCAAGTTGCATTGTCATTGTACAGCAGCCTCCTCACCTCACCGACCTTCGCACGCGACAGCCCGCCAGGCATGGAGTGGCAGCTCACTGCAGCTTACAGTCGCCGCCCAGTGCAGCTAAAAAGCAGCCATTTTCAGAGATTTGATCTCACGCCGGGTGAGCTTGTTCTCGAAGCTCATTCTCGCAAGCCTAGGGCGTAGGTTCAGGCGAGAAACAAAGACAGCTGCACATGTCTTCGAGGCTTTTCGAGGCGCTGGAGGCTCTTGGCCGGTCCGTGCAAGTTGAGGCATCCGTTCACAAACTCGTCCAGGTCGACCAAGCCACTCCTCGGGCTGAGGGCACAAGCCTAGAGAAGCTGACGCCTCGGTTTCTGCCTTGCCAGAACAGTTCTAACACTTGCACACCTGTGAGTCATCTCTGTTTGACAAGATCTTCTTCGAACAGCTCTTCTTGTGCTGCTGAGCCAGGCGCTCACTACAAGGCAAAACAAGTCAATGGCCTGTCGGTGTCCATGAAAGTGAACAGGACGCCAACATCCTGCAAAGGACCCCACGGCTTTCGAGTTCATCCGCACAAGGCCTGCACACACCTGACATTAACACTGACATTAACAGCCAGGCCGATTGCCCACATATTCGGGGCTGCCCCTTTGCGTTCCTCAGTGGAGATGCTCATGGACTCCAGGAAGCCAGCGAACTTCGGCGAGGACAGGGCAGCCTTGAAGTCCCGAATGCTCACCTCATTGTCCTCCTGAGACTGCCGGAATCCAGAGACGCGGGTCTCTGCACATACACATGGGGAGCCCGCTCTTGCAGGCCAAAGCTCGTAGTTGCCCACGATGTCGTGGAACAAGTTTTGCAAGTCGTTTACCTGCACGAGGCGTAGGTCGAGGAGATTGCAGGAAAGGGCTCGAAATACGAGCCGCTACGCGCCCTCCCGATCACATTGAACCTTAAGTGTCGCCAATCGGACTTCTGGATTATGACCTGAAGATCCCTACCTCCATCTGCACGAGCATGTTCATACAACTGTGTGGTGGTCGCAATCGTTTATCCACACTCAACTAATTCAACCGTTGTCGGGCGAAAGACGTCGACGTTTCACGGAAACCGGTCAAAGAAATCAGGGCCTACGCCGCTCGAACCCACTCTGCCACCGGGAAAATAAAAATTAGAATTTAAACCGTTCCCGAAGTCGGCGGGCCCAGGGCCTGCGAGGAGTGCTTCTGAAGTTGTTTCATGGTGGCCAGGTCTTTGTCGGCAGCTGTGCTCTCCATTGCCGTGGAACAAAAATTCGCCGTCACGACATTCACAATCTTGGTCGTTCGGATGCCGGAGTCGGGATGCGGTGACACTGGTCATGCTTAGATCAAAACCACTGCCCCTAACAGACACACTTGAACGACCACACTAACGAACCTGTCAACGAATCTCCCTTCGCCTGTTGAGGGTCGGCTTTCACACCACCCTAAACTCCTGGAAATCCAGTCCAAGCGTGAGTATTTCAGTATTTCTAACGCGTTTTCAATTTTCCCAACCAACGCAAACCAAGCCGCCGCGAAGCAGGTTATTGTTATGTATATGATCAGGCACCTCAGTGGAAGACCACAGCCAACTTTAGGCAGCCTACGACTAAGAGTCTTCCTGGCTTCGGTCCAGCTGTCCGACTGAAACCGTCCGAAGCGCACTGCAGCCAGCGGGTCAGGGCGCCTTGGTGCCAAAAGCTGCTGACGTGCAACGAGACGCGCATCAAGAACCAGAAGTTCATCAAGTATCTCAGTTTTGCCGAGGCTCCTCATCAGCGGCTCCATGGCAAATTCCCAATCGACACCACCAGTAATCGACATAAACAACGTAAGCATACTCGCCTGAAAAACAGGCTCGTGTCACTCACACCCTCCAAGCGTGTTCATGTTCCACGTGGCCAATGCTGGACTTGAAAACCGGGGCACGCTCACGCTGCTCCAATACTTTTTTGCATATTCATCCTTGCATGGGGGAGCGAAACTTGCTGAAAGGCGAAGTGATGGGACTGGAAGAACCTGCTGCCGTCTGCGGAACCCACCTGAACGGAGCGTTGTACTTGTGTGTGTGTGTGTGTTTGTTTTTGTTTGTTTGTTTGTTTGTGTGTGCGTGTGTGTTTGTTTTTGTGTGTTTTTGTGTGTGTGTGTGGGTGTGTGGGTGTGTGTGTGTGTGTGCGTGTGCGTGTGCGTGTGCGTGCGCGTGCGCGTGCGCGTGCGCGTGCGCGTGCGCGTGCGCGTGCGCGTGTGCGTGCGCGTGCGTGTGTGCGTGTGCGTGTGCGTGTGCGTGTGCGTGTGTGTGTGTGTGTGTGTTTGTGTGTGT